GTGTGAACAACACATAAGCAATTTTGTAAAACTTTTCACCTTCGGGCGCCGAGGTTCTAGGTGCCAGCCCAGTGCCCAGGAGTTGGGCGCCAGGCTGTCCACCTAGGAGCCACCTAGCATTTTTTGAAACAACCGACGCTCTAGCTAAAGAAGGGGCGACCCAACTCAATTCTCAGGGAACCATTTTGGCAGCTTTTTGAGCTTTGGCTCCCTTACACTTTTGCTTTCTTTCAGGCTACACAACTTTGCATAGCCTCTCTGCTTTACTTTTTGTATAGTACCGTTATGGCGGTTGGAGCACCCAGACTGTGGCTGCCCAATTTTGGTATACTATTACACTCTTTCCCTTTAATAAAGTTAACACTTCCAAAAAAAAAAAAACCTTGTTCTCAACAGGGTCGCAGTGGCACATTTGCACGAACTATTTCAATCTCCATATTAGCAGGAACGATGCATACAATGCACCACTGCAAACTTGAAAATGAACTCCTAAACACATACAAGGCTACCTGCTGACCTACACCTTCCCATGAATATGAGTTTTGAGATGATAATACTGAAATTGTGAACCGCAACATCCCAGTTCCACTCTCTGTCTCTACATACGCCAGATCCTCTGAAAGCAAATACTATGCAACCTCTCCCCCGCTCCTCTTCCACATAATCCCTCATGAACACCTCATTGATCTAACCAAATAGGGAAAATGGGAATTGAAGGCCTTCAAACATTAAAATTGAAGCTCACTCTGCTCACATGTTTCTAAGGAGCATTTCAACATAATAATTACGAAGCTTGATAAGCATCTAATCTCACCGGCTATAACATTTTTGTCTCAATCATTACTCACTACCTACAACAATAGCCTACTACATTTCATATTTCGAATTTCTCTATGGGAGTTAGATCATTGGTTTAACTTCTATCAAAAAAAAAATTGTAACATATTAATTTCTTATCTTGGATCTAAGAGATTTTCTCTCGGGTTGGTGTATGGGATTTAGACCCCTCCAAAGGCTTTTCCACTGACAATTAGGAGGAAAAGCATGGTCCATCCATGGGCTAGTTTTGCCGCAGAAGGGGAAAGCCCAGGAGAGCATCTGGGTCTGCTCATGAATCAATTGTTCACATGCAAGATTTGAGTTCCTGCATTTGAGGAGGGCCAGTGAACCCACGCAGTCATATTTAATAGCAAAGATTGGTACACCTGATGTTATAGAATGAACATTTGAAGTCCTATTGGCAAAATGAACTGGGATTTCAGGTAGAAAGCCATAATACCTTTTCGATTATATCATATCAACTGAGGGTTTTCTCAAAAGGACCCGGTTTCTATGCGGCCAAGCCCACATATGTAGAAATGCAGGCCTCTTAATAAATCGATTTTTAAGAATGATTTTAAGACTTAATTTTTAAGGACATGGAATCTCTAACATGGAGATCATGAATATGAAAAAATAAAAAACATTTTAAAACAAAAAATAATAACTCTAGTAAGAAAACATTTGGACCGTTAGTTTCCATTGTTTTTAGATGGAACACCTACTTGCATCCATCTTTAAGATGGATGCTTTACACTCTTTGGACCGCATATGCAGAAATGCGGTCCAGCCCACATGAAATAATTTTCCTTCTCAAAAATGTTAGAAAACTTCGACGCTTCTTCAGCAAATTGAGAAGTTGTATAGCATTTACATATATAAGACTAAGTCAAAATATTGATGAAATGATATCATACACTCGGCAGGGTAATATTGAATGGGAATAACAAAAACTGTAAGCTTGCCTTTTGGTTCAATTCTGAACGAGTATAGGTTCCTTGTTGCAAGGTTTCTTCTGGCAACGAAGACAAAACATGATCTACAAGTGAATCTTTATCAATCCCTTCCAATGTGGTCTGTAAAGAAGCTATTTCTCGATGAATTGGTAATCCTTTTGACAGTGCGTCTTGCAAAGCTAGTGTTTCCTGCAAAAACAAACCAATAGCATGTATTAAAGTGAAATACTGAAAACTAAATAAATTCAACAAGTCAGAGATAACAAAGCTATGGAAATTAGATAAATAAGTTCAAGTGAAGAAAACAAGTATATACCAAAGCAAGCTTATGAACAGAGTGACTTTGACGAGCTTCTTCTGTTCGTGCATAAAATGCCATGCATAAGGCATTTATCTGTAATCAAATCAATCGAAACACATAAATCCCATACATCAGTAATAACTAACAAAGTGAGAAGTAGCAGAAGATTATTGTGCAAGACACAAATAACATTATAGCAATCAGTTGTATGACATAATAAGAAACATGCTGGCCAAGTAGGGAAGCCTGGTTTCCAACTTATGCATTAAAGTCATGCACATAACATGTATGTGTACGAGCATGCACATGCACATCCACACACCAAGGAAAATGGAGAGTTCAAGTGGATATATAGAGCTATAATTCAATGACATGTGAATCATCATCTAGTTACTAGGACATAGGAATCATGAATTAGGTGAGTCATGCATTATTGCCCGTAAATTTAAGATCAGGAATATAACAAGGTCATTTCAGCCCAAGAGATTGAAGAAGTCAATGGCAAGCAAACGATGAGACATGAGTGTGTTGTTTTGGCAAGTGCAAGCAACCTGCCAAGCTAGCAAATAATGAATTAGCTATAAGCAACAAATCATACATCAAGATTTGCCTCAGTCATTTTTTCCAACTGAGATGCCTTCTCTTTTGCAATAGCTGCAGCTAATTCTGCTTTAGCTAGTTCTTGGGCCTTCTTTAGCTGTACCTCCACTTCTTCGTCCTGCATATATTGAAGAATAAATTATCCAAAAGGACCAAAACAATTTCAGTCACATACTATGCTAAAACAATTAAAAGTAGTTCTTTCAAGCAAGATGAATATAAGAGAATGTACTTTTCGCTGAAGCTCCATCTTAAGCTTCTCTTCTGCTTTTTCTTGAAGTGACTTCACTATCGCAGCTGCCTTAGCTCTTTCTTTGTTTAACTCCTAAAATAAAAGCACAAAGTTATGATATATCATACTAACTCATACACATTCATCACAATTCCTGAGGCGTTTTCAATTTAGCTGTGGGATCACCCGACTTGGTGGCAATCCCAGCGATCCCACATTCCCAGAGCAGGATATCGAGTGGATCACGCCCCCATATGGGGGAACACGATCCCAATCCTTAGGAATCAGTCAATATAAATTCACACCCATGTTAGATATGCCTTCTACAAAAAATCCAATCTTAAATGAATATCAATAAAAGAAGAAGGTAATTATGGTGAGAAATCAAGAACTGCATTTTTTTGCAAATGGAAAGCAGATGTTAATACATATCTACAAACAAACTGTTTTAAATGCATGCCAATCACAAAAGAAAGATCAAATTCCTGCATGGCACATTTTTTTACAGGAAAATTTGCTTACATTAGATCATTTTTTTTAAGAAAAGAAGTCCTAAATAAACTGTTTTCATAATTGAATTAAAGAAGGGATGATAGGTCCGAGTTTAGCAACGTTGGATGAAAATTCATCTCTCTTATCGCTCTATAGTTATTCTCTTTCTATTAATGCTTTAGTTCCTTTCTTAATTTATAATGAAGGGTTAAGGGAAGGAAAAGGGCAAGACCGATTTAACAGAAATCTTTTAATATCTTTTATTAAATAACACAATATATTGATCAAGTAACAAATAACTATGATACATTATTACGCAACACCATTAATATAACAAGCCTCGAGTAAATGAATATGAGTTGTAAAATTTAATTAAGAAAATATATTTGTAAGATAAATATATTCCTAATATATTTATTGCATACCTTAATATAATTTATATAAAAATTGTGAGTATTTTCTTATTTTTAAATTTCCATACTTTTTATATTTATTATAAGAGAGGGACCATCTTACCAATGACGATCCCTTCCTCCTACACCAGCTTACAACTACGTATTTCAATGCATTGTTAATTCATTTTTAGTGGATATGATGATCCTGACCAATCATGAAAAAACAAGCATTTCTACAAGACTGAAAATCAATGTGTGAATCAAGATAAGAGTAAAAACCTGCATGACCGAAATATCGTATTTTACCAAACCAATAAAATATTCGTTCATAGAACACAATCATAATATAGTTCAATCTTTTAAGCCTTCAAAGTTCTTTGAAAATTCGTACATCAAAAAAGCTTTCTCACAATCTCTAATGGGTTCATGTGATATGCATTCGTGACCCATGAGTAAATAAAATAGGGATTTAGGTAGATGCCAGTTAGGTTTTCAAAGAATACTAGATTTCAAATATATAAAAGTGGCTCTTGGAACCTTTCAGGATACATTTGGCTCAATTTGCCCCCTAATAAAAATACTTCTTTCCTTAATTATCATGGCCTGGTAGTTATAGGTCATTTTCACCATGGAGGTCTAGAGAACTTATCGAGACAACTTGGGATATCACTAAGGCTAAAATGGGGGCTTAGATAAGTATGGATTCCAAGGCTGATTTTTGGCTTTCATATCTCACCGGACTAGAAAATGCAAAGTGTGGGGCCCCTATGATTATGCCAATATTTTGTAGTTGAACTACTTTAAAAATGGACTGGGAAATGCCATTTGGAAAATCCAGCACTATCAAAACCAACCACTCCGTGTGTATTACATGAAATTGGCCGAAAGCTAGTTTCAAGATTCTCTTTTTTGGGGGCAAGTTGCATAATGCAAATATTAGATAGGAAGAAAAGAAGGCACTCAAACATGCCCATAGGAAAAAGCTCCAATATCAATTAATGGAAGACTGAAGCCAGATGATATACAATTCACATGCATCCTGTATTACTGACAACATTTGAAGCTCAACTCATCTAGGGATTCTCCCAGGTCTTAGGCCTTCTATCTCACCGACTACCAAGTCAACTTGCCATCCCTTACATGCATCTCGTACTACCACTAATGTCTATAACTCAACTCAACTCAACTCAAAGCTTGGAATTCACATAGGTCTTGAGCCTTGTAACTCACTGACTTCCATGCCTTTTTTTTCATTCTTGTAATAAAGGTGACAAGTATATTAATTAATAATATGAGTAACCAAAACCATGAGATATGGGAAGCAGTATCCCACATATCATGTGCTGAGAAACATACACTGAAATAAAAAAAGAAATAAAGTATCAAGGTTTAGAGAAGAGAGAAAAAGTAAGGCACGAGAGGGATGGGGGGAGGAGAAAAGTAGTGAGGAAAGAGAGATCGGAGAAGGCAACTTTGGAGAAAGGGAGTAGCAAGGGAATAGAGAAAGAGCAGACAGAGTTAGAGAGGTCAGAGAAAGAAAGTTAGAGAGAAAGGGAGATAGGTAGAGGAAGAGAGAGAGAAATGAAGAATGCATTGGAAGAAAGAGAGAGGGAAAGATTGGAAGAAAGAAAGAGAGAAGAAAGAAGAGCAAAATAAGAGCCGGAAGTTACAGATAGTACACTGGGAGGCAAGGTTACATCACCAAACTAAGCTTGGTTGATAGAAGATGCTAGAGAAGCTTGCTGTTTTGCGAGAGCATCAACTGCTAAGTTTACCTTCCTACAGGTATGATGAAAGTCCACTCGAAATAGCTGCAGAAATAACCATGATGGTTGGGGATGGCAGACCCATGCCTTTCTCTCGAATTGTAAGAATTCCTTCCAATTGGTTCCACAGTACGATTTGGAGAAGCCGTTTAGTTAGTTTGCAGCTAGTGGACCAGAAAGTTGTTAAGATTCTAGCTCTATCTGCTGTGGCCGTCGGGCTGCTCTTGGCTTCACAGAAAATCTGGGAGTTACGTTCCCCCCCCCCAAGGACCACAGCATAGCTTGGATGGAAGCTCTCCAAAGAAAGAGGCCTGCCAAGATGGAAGGGGAGAAAAGCAAGGGGTAAGAGTTGTTTGATTGACAATGGAGTGGCCCATCGCCAATCAAAGTCACAAAGATGTTTGGTCCAGCGAAGTTGCAATGGAGAACGAGGTGAGAATGGAATAGAGGGAACCCATTGGCAAGGTTGAAACCCCTCCTTTCAAGTTGGTCAAGTGTGAGACTTTTGTTGGAAATGGTCAACAAGGTAAAAGCTTGGATTTTAGGAGGAGTTTGAGTGATCTAGGCTTTGTTGTGGGCAGTAAGTGGCAACGAATGAGTGGGGTCAATTGCTCTATAGAAGGATGAGACAAAATTCCAGTTTGGTTTGCCAATGTCGGATCATTTGACGAAATACGAGGCTAGAAGGCACAGGAGGGTAAGTAGGTCATCAAGTTCATTATCTAGAAGATCTCTTTTGACAATGGGTGTCCAGGTTTGGTGGTGGTTGTTTCGTTGGAAGTAGTGGGCAACAATGGCATCTGGATTGGTAGCAATGGAAAACAGGTAGCCCGAGTTTCTTTTAGTGGTGAACTGCCTATCAAGTGTGGTTTCAAAAGTGGACCTTTCCTCCTGAGTTGACTTTGAATCGAATGGAAGGCATGAAGAGATCAAGGCAGCTGAATTTTTTTTTTAAAAAAGCCTGATTAGGCAGCTGGCCTTGGGTTCCTCTATGGGAACCAGCCCAGACAATCAGTGGCATACTTTTTTTTTGGGTGAATATCAGAGGCATACTTTTGAATCAGAATATGACGCCACAACAAATCGTGGTTGGTGGTAACGTGCCACAACCACTTTCCTAGAAGCACCCTACTCATTCACTGGCTCCCATGTCAACTTGCTATCCCCTATGATATCAAACTTAAGCATTCTTAAGAATATTAACTTATTTTTTATAAACTCGCTTAAGCTCGGGCAAGACTCAGAATTAGCTGAGCCTGGTAAAAGATTATAGTAACATTTTTAAAAAAATATTTTTTAAAAAACTCGGTAGATGCCTGAGCCAAGTGACTCAGGGAAGGATTGAGGCAAGCAAGGATAAACTACTGATTATCAAATGTTTACACAATGAACATGTGAGTTCATAGATATGGTTCAGCTTCCACTATGGGATTTCACGCTCATTGTCTAAAACCAATATTCAGAGATGAAATTAATGCACAAGTATCAATCATGCTGGATGGTTGCTGATGCAGATCAGGCATGAGTACTTTACATACGAGCTGCTCATAAGCTTTTGAAGGCATTAGAATCCAACAGCTCCAAGCTCCTCTTCTTCCTCTGCCATTTGAACAACTAACCATACATTATAAGTTAGATTAAATTGTGGATTTTCCAACAAATAATTAACGACATTGCTAGCAACGTGTCTATTGGAACACAACGGATCACAATCCATGTTTTTTTATAGTCTACAAGACAAGTCCCCTGAACTTGTTTTCTGGATGCCATGTAGTAAACTAAACAAAATGAGGAAAGGAAAATGGAAAGACTCAAACCCAATATAAAACAATGTTTAACATATATCAACATATAAATTTGGACATGAATGGAAGCAAATTACAAAGCAGCGGTAACAGATTATCTTAACAATGAATACATTTTTAACAGAACAATCATGAAAAGAAAGAAGCTGCATCTAGAACCTTATCTAAGCTTGCCACCTCCTCCGCATACATGAGTTCCCTTGCCCTTGTATCCTTTAGTTCTTTCTCATACTTCTCCTAATAGACAATACATTAGAGTGGAGACCGATTAATGGAAACCACTATATGCAGTTGAAGTAAAGGGTAAAGGGTAAAGGGTAAGCTCAAGTTGTCAGAGGCAATTGGTAAGTGAAGATCGACAAACCTTCAACCATCGTTTTTCCTCAGAATAAATGCGAGCATCTAAATCAGCCTGCTTTCGTTCAGCTGCATGAATGGCTTCTATGAAATCAAGAACTAGTTTTCCATCTTCACTGCTCTTTACGTAATCCAAGCCTTCAAATTTTTGTGCTGAAACCTGCAGTGTCAAGATAGCAAGCATTAGTACATAAAAACATATTGGCAAAAGTTTACAATTGCAAGACATAACATCACAGTCAAGTAAAGAATTCATATAGCAGGGTAAAAAGTTCTTGCCATGAAATAACCTCTTTTTCTTCAGAAACAATTACAGAATCAGCATCATCGTCCTCAGACAAGCTTCCTGCGTCATTCTCCACCAGAAAATATGCATGAGAAAGACCACTTCCTGACCGTTGGTACTCATTTTCATCAACTTCAGTATCCTACAATATAGATATAAATATACATATACATGATCAGTGGCAAATTCATACAAAAAAGATTTCTTTACATGAAAAATCACCAAGACAAAATTGTTTTGGGGGAGAGCATCTCAATTAGAGGGTTTTTCAGATTTTTTGTTATTTACAATTTCTTAGTTGCAGCATAACAATCATCCCATATTCATTCAACCCGGGATAGAACCGACTGAAAGCCAGCAGAAACATTACAACAACTGAGACAGACTACGCTAAGTTTATTAACAGACCTATAAGCTTAACAGTCATCATTAACAAGTCTAATGTCGAGAATCTAGTTGTTGTTGCCAGTGAAAGGTATCCATGCAAAGTGGTGTCATATCACTTCTCAATGACAGCACCCAGAGATTCTAACATGAGAACATAGTGATACCATCAACTTCCCAAAAGTAACAGGACAAGATCTAGCAATCAAACATGTCGATAATCCATGCATGAGAACATTAATCATAACATATTGCAATCCATTCATGATGAGACAACCACATAAATCATACCAAAAACCCACAAAGAGAATGAAATGCGGAAGCACATCTCTACCATTATCATCTAGCAAGAAAAGTTCACTAGAACATGGAAAGTATTATTTCATAGTTAAGGCCACATTCGAAAAACCATATACTTCATGAGTCAGGGAAAATTTTCATCATTCAAATTTTATATCAAGGTCAGCGCAGAGATTGAAACTGGCCTAAAATTCTTAATCTGGGGGGTTTGGGTTAGAAACCATTAGACACCATATTCATTTTTTATCTAAAGCTTACCAACAATAAAAGAGAATCAACTACATGGCAACACAGGAACAAAATTTTACATCCTCAAAATTAATGAACAAGAAACGTCACTACATTGCAAGGGAAGGAAGGAGGGGCATATGATCTTTTAGTATCACCTTGGAAGCAAGATCATCATGGGGTACTTCCTTTGTGTCACTTTCTTCAAGTGCTTGTGAACCAACAGTGTCTTCTTTCTGTACAGTATCTGTCTTGAGCTTTGAAGATTCACTATGAATATCTCCCATATCTAGACTCTCTCTAGATGATGTTTCAAATGGACTTGTAGAGTCTTTACCACCAAATGCTTTGTCATTTGAAGGTACACTTGCCAACTCTTCTTCTACAAGGGGCACAATCTTGACTGTTTCATTGTTCACTGGTGCATGGCTCTCATCTGCGATATTACTGTTTTGTGATTTCTCAACATGTCCCACATCTGCTAGAGTTTCGCTCTTTTCATCCTCACCCTCAACTGCAGAAGAGTGAGTCTCCTCCTCACGTTTTGGACTACTTAACCCTTCCATGCTCAGAGAGGTTTGATCTTTTTGATGTTTGATATCATCAGAATTCTTCTGGTTACTGTTAGACATTGTAGATTTGAAAATGGGAATGCCATCTTGGTCATGACGTTGACCAATTACCCCTGCCTGATAAGCTGCAAAAAGACCTGCGGCAACTGCAACACCCCCTATAACAAACAGTGTCATTGGAGACCCTTTACCAGAAGGCTTTTCCATGGGAGCGGATGGTTGAGATGCATATCCCCTTGCAGAACCCGAAAAGCTTTTGCTTGATGTAAATAAAGAAGGCACCTACTTGCATGAGACCAAGAAAGAAGAAAATACAGCAATAAGGACATCATAGTAACAAAGACAAAACAAGGGGTACAAATACTGGAGGATAGAAGGTGAACACTACATTTATGCTCTCACTATACCGAAGGGATCGGTATATAAGGCAGTTTAAGTAGATCTTGCAAGACAAGAATGCCAAAAGACAGAAAATTGGCAGGATAGATTAATTGCATCTGTAAATTATGAGACACCCAGCCCACTGCAAGAACAATAAATTTTTTCTTTTTTTCTCTGTTTCTTGAAAAAGAAGCAAAAGGTCAAATGAAGTCATTATAGCTAATTTGGATTTCCTAGGAAGCAACAGTTTTTGCGCGCTAATACTACCACGAGTGGAAGTAACCAATGTTGCATACCGTCAAGGGAAGCACTTATTTTTTCCGGTAAAAGACAATTTCATAAATTTGGGAGGGCCAGTGTCAAATCAAATGTAAGGTCAAGATTTCCAAAAAACTGAGTCCAATTGACATTTCCCAGAACCCAGCAATCTTGAGCATTCGAACTTTGAGAACTATAACTTGATATTAATGCTGAACTTCTGAACTATTTCTACGTGGTTGATTTTTTTAAAAAAAAATTTAAAAGTTCAACTAAAGGTATCAAACACAGTGCAACGGCTAATGCATTCCCCAAATCTAAAGCACGAAAATTGTGTTTAGCTGACTGGACAATGCATAGAAGGTAGGCACTGGATATCTGATGAACAAGACCAGGATCATAAGAACATAACTAAAATCTCCTCCTAAAAAGTAACGAATTGAAATCTGTTTCTAACTGATCAAGATGAAAATGATAGAAGTCGATTCCCTTCCATAAAATGAAGGGTTAATTCATGTTTCGAACCAATCAAGATGAGAATAACATAAACTAGTTCCTACATATACAATTGTTCGTGTGTATAGTGCTGCCCATGGAAAATCCCTACACTGCCAATGATGACTTTCTGCTTTACAATGACAACTTTTTTTCCTTTGTCTTTTAAGTGACTGAGTAGTAAAATCCAATCAAGTTGCATGAGAAGGAAAACAACGAGACAAATAAATAATGGGAAATAAAAGAAGAACATAAAAAAGAAAAAACAGGGAAAGAAGTTATGCGGGAGGAAGAGAATCTCCAATAGGGAGAGGCACCCAACAGCCCTCATTTCTACCTGTCTTGGCATATGGATAAAAGAGGCAGATAGCCCTCCTCATGAGCCCATCTGGTGATGGGATAATAGCTTTTTATAATCAATGAGATCAAGAAAAAAAAGGCAAGAAAACATAATGCCAACCAAAGATTAGACATAATTCCATTGGCATTTCTGCCTCAAGAGAGTCAGATAATCCCATAGATCCCTAAAAAAGTAGCCTCTTTGGAGACATCCAATAAATGTGGAATGATACCCTACAAAGTATCAGAAACCTTCCAAGGATAGTTTTAATTAAGCCATGAACTTGTGATGGACATAGCTGCCATAGGAGCAACCATCAGATTTTATTTTTCATGAACCTCATGCAATCCATCCTTAAGGGTTCTAGATCTACTCTAAGTGATGCAGCTTTCAAACGCAAGTACACCTTTAGCCAAGAAAGTACTTGAGACTAGAGAGCCACAAAATCACAGTATTCCTGATATGTCACCTCAGTCTCCAAAAACCTAAAGTACTCTACAGTTGACATGACCAAAACATTTCTGACTCAATATTTGTATTTTTCTTGGTCAGCACATAATTGTATTTAAGTTGAATTAAATCAAGTATTCCTACTTAATCTCTACTTATGGATCGAATGTACAAATATATTAATAGAACGGGTTTTTTGTTTGAACGAAAGAAGGCTTGCATACTGAATCTCCACCAAAGAAATGTTTATATACTGAACCATAAACTACTGCAGTATGTGACACAATATATTACATTTCAAATGCATTAAAATATAGAACACAGTGCAGTAAAAAATCCACAGACAAAAATAAATAAATCAAATAAACACTATGATATACAATTTTACAAGTTTTGTACATCTCAAAGCTCTATGTTTTCTTCCTCTATGTGCATTCTATGCACTCATGTAAATCAGCGCACACGCATGTATATGGACCCCGAAGTAAATACACATATATGTATTTACTGTGTATTACTTTTTGGAAATTTGGATTCTTTAGCTCATTCTGAAAATCAAATAGATATACTCACTTAGTTGAGTCGCTAAGTGAACCCAGTCCTGATTGCTAAATCTCTTCAACTTAAAAAAGAAGTCATTAGTTGAAAGACATTGTAATGTTACGCTTAAGCAAGCTCATCAGACACACAATTCATCAAACTATTATTCAAATGTTTCTTGGGCCTTTTTCCTTTTTCCTTTGGCCTGTGTTTCTAATAACACTCATAACTGAAAGATGATTTTCTTGATCTTAAAAGAAATACTGTTGTAATACCAAATTTCCATTTTTAACAAAGAATATAGGGAAGAAGCAAAGCATAAGGATATACTCAAACGTATTAATAATTGTCCCCAAATTGCATCTAACAATGTATCTTGGAAGAGAAGTAACATCAAGAGACAGCCTTCAGCAATGGCAACTCACTAGCAATACCATTTGCCGCAAACAAAAACAAAACCCAATATTCAGCAACAATAAAAAAGCAATCAACACGATATAATTGCATCCATTCCTTACAAATCACAAAACCTAATTTAGCTTACCTTCTGCAAAGAACACACAACCCCGAAAGCTCAGATATCAGGAAATGGAGAAACCCAACTTACTGTTCTACTTCTTTGCAAATGAGATGAGAAATGGCTTGTGGTTCCTGCCCAATAGGCACGGGCCATTGAGGCCGCCTGCTTTCTTAGCATCAAATGCATTTTACTGGCGATTAGTGTCAGAAAACAGGATGGCGATGGTTGAAGCAGTAATCTGTTAACAGCGTTTTAGAGAGAGAGAGAGGCCCCGATTTCTCACTCTTCAAGCTTTTAAGCGCGAATTATGTTCCTGGCTTTTGAGGCTGGAACCGACTAACAAGAATTGTGTGTGACTCGTGTTAATAATCGAAGCTACGGATTGAAAACTCGAATCGTCAACTTAAGGGGTCAGCCGGCGGAATCGTTTGCCGATTGAGGAATAGGACTCGGCAGAAAAAAATTGAGTCGGTTTGCATTCCAAGGGAATTTGATTGGGGAAAAATATCCCGTCTAACGGTTGAGATTTCACAGGGCTATATCTAATGGCCAAAAATTAGTTTTATATTTTATATTTTTATTGAAATAAAATATTTATATAAATTTTGAGATGTGAGATATTTTTAAAGACAACAAAATAAAAATAATTTAAAAATTTTAAATAACAAAATGATCAAATTGCCTTAAATTTATCGTGATCAATACAATTTGTTAGAAATAATTTGTATTATTTTGTTTCAATTCTACTTATAAAAATGAAGCTAAAGTCTGATTCTTATATTAATATAATTTTTAAATAAAAAGTCAAAATTAGAAAATAAATTTTTTTTTTTTTGGGCCTTGGGATTATGAAAAGAAAGTATATATTATCTATTAGGTTAATATGAAAAGTGTATATCTAATCAGTATATTTGAGAAGGGTAGGTATCATACGTTGTATCTTATGGTAAGTGTGGGTATAATATGGATGTTTATGATTTAGTTTTTATTATTGTCGTATGTAATTTGTCTATAAAATACAAGTTTGGATAATCATATGAATAATGGACACTAAATATTTTCAGATAAGCTTGAGACTCTGCACACGGTATCAGAGCCAAATTCATCTTAGTTGTGCCTATTCCTCGTCCCTGAAGCATTGTCGTCGATTTTCAAGACGATATGTTGAGTCGTGTTTCGATTATCAAATTTGTTTCTCTGCCAAGTCGTTTTCGGCTCTCTAATCTATTTGATCTCCTTCGCCTATTTTCCTATCTTTCAAATCCACTGTCTGTCATCAATTTTTGTGCCATTTTGTTCTCCCAACTGCCTCTACTGCTTTTGTCTGGAAATTTTATCTGATTGATCAAGCCTACTCTAATATGACCCTCAGTTCCTAAGGCCATTTGTTCCTGAGGCATGTTGATCCACCGCTGGTTTTTGTGCTTGTTGTTCAAGCAATCTGAGCATGACAAGCGCTGCTTGTACTAGTCACGCTATGTACTTGAAGATTCAACTGCTAGTTTCTACAAACTTGATTTTCAAACTCGAGCTGCTTTCTCTCACAACATCTTCAGTTTGAAGGGGAGTGTGAAAAGAAAGTATATATTGTCTATCAGATTAATATGGAAAGTGTATATGCAATCAGTATATATGAGAAAGGTAGGTATCATACCTTGTATCTTCTGGTTAGTATGGGTATAATATGGATGTCTATGATTTAGTTTCTATTATTGTCATATGTAATTTGTCTATAAAAGACAAGTCTGTATAATCATGTGATTGATGGACACTAAGTCTCTTTAGAGAAACCTGAAAAAATCTTCACAGGATGAGGCCGGTTCAATCTAAACTATTAAATTGTGCTATGAAGCGTCCACAACATGTGGACACAATGCCAACCCTTTGATTGGAAATGATTCAGAAAGTCAAGAATATTTTTTTCAAATCAATATATTTAGGTATGTGAGAAAATATTGGACCACCATATTGCACATTTGATGAAATTAATTAAAGGGAGATTGTCCTCAATTTATCTTTTGTACATGGAGATTGTCAATTTGGATAGCTTAAGGTGAGTCACAAAGTCAAGAATTTTTTTGGAACTCTGCCTATTCAATGACACTCTAACAACCGCTTAGTTTGAAAATTATGCGACAAGAGTGATTGTGACCTCCATGTACAGAAGATAAATGGTATCTTTGTAGATGATCTCTCAATTAAAACTCATATAAACTAGTTTGTGTTTAGGTATCACACATTTATTCATAATACTTGAGCAAAATAACTATAATAAGATCCATAAGAATAATAATAATAATTTTTTTTTTAGAATCTACATTCTAAAGACAATATGAACTGCAGGGTGGCTCAAAGTGATGCCAACCACCATGATCTCAATCACTGTTGTATGGAATATTGAATTGGTTGAGGGATGAGTTTCTCCACTGAAAAGCTCCTCAAATTGCAGTCTTACCTCTGCTTTTTCACATCCTCCTTATGGGTGTTGGTTCACACATTCTTCTTCTTCCTTGGACTTTTGGGGGTCATCATCTCCAGCAATGTGCTCATATTAAGTGGCTCATCCACTTCCACCAACCACTCATCGCTGGATCCCTAAAAACTACATGATTTAGGATGATTGGGTTTAAAAACATCTATGGGTGATCTGGGGCACCAATCCCAAGAACCGGTCCAGACTGGTGGATTGATGATACGGATCGACAATCCGGCTGAGAGAAGTAGGCTAGAAAAATTAAAACAATTTGAGAAAAAATTAAAACAAAAAAAAAAAAGTGGAGCCGGATCAGCCGCCTTTGGGGGAACCAACTGCTTCCCTCCTCAACTCCCACTTTCGAACATTTAAATTGCAATGGAATGAGACTAGCTTCTAAAGCTTGATATAACTCAACTTGTTCCTTTATGAGACGTGCATCTAGTGAAATATGCTCTGCTTTTGCTTACATTCGCTAGCAGCTCGACTCAATTTAGGAGGAGGAGGAGGTTCATCATATGGTGATTGTTCCTCATTCCTAGGAAGTCACCCCATGGTATCCACTAAAAGGTTCAGTCTCTATGAGGGGCAAAGCTTGGTGCAGGGTGAAGAACACAGACCTATTTTGCTAGTTCTCTCTTATTTCAAGGTCAAGCATATAAAGTGCCATCGTATTGGGTGTTTGTGGCTGATATATTTTCTATTTTGACTGTGTTTTCTTTATTTTTGCTGTGCCAAAAATGGGACTTTTGGAAGTGAATCTCACCATTTGTTAGAGAGAGAGAGAGAGAGAGAGAGAGATTTTATAAGGTGTCAATTGTACTATAAGAGTATGACGAATCTAAACACTCAAAAGGCGAATTCAATACTAAAAAACCCTCTAATTGGTCCACTCGACCTTGAGATGGATAGATATGGAGGAAAAAGTATTTCCACTCATGAAAATAATGCACCATGTAATGCATTATTCCATTTTCATGATTTTTAAACATTTTGTATTTGCTCGATCTGTATCACGTTTGGAATATTAAAATTTATTATTCTGGTGAAAAATATATTTCTAGGTCATCGTAAGAGTTACTGGCACTTTCTAATGGTACATATGCATTTCTAGTTCCAGCAACTCTTACGATAGAGTGCCACTACACCCTGGCACTGAAAATGCATCTTTCTCATACCAATTTGATGAAATTCAGAAGAGAAAACACAAGAGAAATAGAGTGCTACTGCATTTCTTTTATTTAACTTTCACCGTGTACTACACTTCGCATTTCTTTTCGGGCCAGTTCGACTTCATTTTGGCAGCCAAACTAGAGGACCCAAGCACTGACTTGTCTCATTCCTCAAAGAGAAAAGCCAATTTATTTCAGGCGTGATTTCTAAATCCGTAAATCACTTGAATATATCATACAACTGAGAATTTTTTAAAATTGATTGCCAGATTTCATGCAAAAGTTATGACTAGTATTGTGGTACAAAGTATGATGCCTATCGTGATCAATTTTCAGCAGTAGTTATGACTAGTACAGTGAAAGGTTTTTATTATTGCTTCAGTAAATCAATGTACTTATGCTGCAAATGTGGAGGTCGGACAATGCATAAAAATAGAGTTCCTCAAAAAACGCCGAATAATGTGCTGTTGGAGCATGAGAATAGCCAGGTCACTCTAGCATATTTGTTGATGACCACCATCCTGCTTAATATAATTCTTAAAAACCAAGTTTCATGCAGCCTTGTTTCTTTAAGAGGGAAGTTCCATCAATTCAGGCATAATTAGTAAGTAGGTATTCCTCAATCAATAAATCCTGTAGATAGGTCGTTGCAGTAAAATATGGTTCATCCTTTGATCAGCTAAGATTAAATAAGTAAAAAGACAATTTAATGAAAGTGCCACTACGTAAATGACTGGTGAAATTCTGGTTCCAAAAATGTGGATTCAGAAAAATAAGTGACAATAGAGTTCATCAAACTTCTCCACATTATGCAACATTATTGTGTGAAAATCCTTAGTATTCGATGCACGAGAGAATGGTCACATGAGCATCTATGATCACAACACCCATCTCACAAAAGAGGGTTGCCCTTGTTATTATTGGTGGAAGGTGATTCTTAATTAACTTGAAATAAGTGAACAATAAAAACGATAGTATAGAGATGCGATTCCCCAACTTATGTTTCTGATTTATCCAAAATAAACTGAAACTGTCCGAATGCAATTTACCTGGGTATATTTCTTCAATGCTGATACTTAGAACTGGTGCTATCTACTTCATATATTCCTAAGATTACCACATGTAGTTTACATACTAAATTTGCATCCATGTACATAAGAAACAACAATCAAGTTGCTCAGCCTATAAAAATACCATGGTATTCACCTTTTAAAACAAGGTGTGCAACTGAAAACACGACCTGTATCCTAATATCATGAGAGCAATCATCCTAATGGAACTGAGCACGGCTAAAGGTGTATAGTATACTTTGTTAATGACTAATACCATGTCATTACTTCCTTGCTTCAAGGATGTTAGCCTATCATTTCAAATATTATTTCGGCCTAATGTCAACTGCTCCTAGTGCATGGTATTCATTGGAAAGAAGAATTTATAGTGGAGTTCCTATCATTGCAATCAAAATAAGAATTTAGTGTTGGGTGCTTGGTCAATGATTTTTCATGGGATAAAATCCTATTTTCCCATAGGTCAGCAGTAAGAATTGAACTTGGAAAGTTGTGTCGTAGGTGTCTACACTGTTACTCACTTGGGCTTCAATTCTTAGAGTTAGCGTTGCACTTGCTAGCAATTAATCTACCAGTGAAGGCCCAAATCCAATTTTCTACTTGATTCTTGTCCGAGTAAAATGC